ACATCTTTTCTCCTACTACAATTTTTCTCTCTTTCAAGTAATCTGTATGACAGTTCTGACTAATAGGCTCAGTGGAGAATCATATGGAAGTAGAAACTCTAAAGCCAGTTACCAGACACATATTCATTCGTAATAATCGTTGTATTTTCTCTGCCCTCCCAAATCCAAAATGAGTTGAAAGCAATTTTTTTATAAAATTACAATTTAATGGGATTTTATGTAAAAATAATTTAAAGGGACAATGGTACCCATTACATAAACTAAGCTCTGTGGAAATGCTAGTATTCAAAACAGAGTACTCAGGGGTTTGAGAAAGGGTTTAAGTAGAGTCAAGAAAGAGTTTAAGTAGATGCCACATTTTTTGCAATAAAGTATTGGCCAAGAGAAACTTGCCACAGCACTGCTATTTGTTAGAAAGAAACTGAGATGAGAATAAGGAGGCACTGGAATCACAAACCTCCTGCCAGGTTCTTCAGTGCTCTGACATGATGTTGTTTTGGGTAAAATGGAAGCCTATGGTCTTTCACTCAGGAGAATGGGAACGAGCTGGTGAGTCCACTTTAAGGTCTGTATAAAATGCTGTTTAACTTCATCCAGCACTAAATTGATATTACTACAGACACCTCCACCTCTCTCCCTATCTCATTATTTCTTTGAATATATTGGCATTCAAGATGGCTTTGTGGAAAGGGGAAGAGGACGGTTGAGTTGGGTAGGGCAAGCAAATGGACAGGATGGAACTGGTTCTCTTCCACCACGTTGTCTCAAGGAGTGGAATTGAATGGATTTGAGCTCCTATGAAGGACCAGTCAGTTTCTTTACAGGAAATGGTTTTACCAACTGTTACTATTACTACTCAGTGGGATGGAGGTTATGGATAGGCTCTGCTGTTCAGTGCTCCACAAGTGTTCAGAGCCAAACTGGTAGGAAAATAGGTTTTATTCAAAGCCAGCTTTGAAGGAAGACAAAAGAAACTTTTTGTTTCAAAATTTCCATCTTTGGAGGCTCTGAGAGCTGGAAAAACTTAGGAGTAGTAGCAAACCAGGACAAAAAGCATGAAATATACTTATGCAGATTTAGTCGGCCTGTGGTAGACAGGCCAGAGGAAGGGGCAATTTGCTTCCTTGGTATCCTCCAGCCCAGGGTAGGCAGCTGTTCAACCTGAAGAAGTTGTCCATGATTTCAAAAGGACTCTTAATTTCAGTCTGTTTCAATAGAATCCCATCGATGATAAACTGAAGCATAAAATGTAACTCGATGGATAAACTTCATGAAGATGCTCTTCTCAGAGGTGTGGGCAGGGATAGGGAAGTCATCACGGACATGATGTGTCCAGAGACTAGCACATCAAGGTCTGAAGAGACGGAAAGAACAAACTGTTGGTATTAACAGGACCCAGTGAGAGCTGGGCCACCATCAGGGGTTGTTGTTTGGAAGGGATGCAAGACATACCTGAACTGGGCAAAGCAGGGAAGGAAAAGAGAATAACATCTCAACTTCACTTCTTTCTCTAAATGTAATCTCCTGAGAATAACTCCCAGGAGCCAAAACCAACAAGAAGCCAAGTGGCAAGAAAGTCCATAACAGACATGTTCGGGTTTAGATAAGACACTGGGAGAAGATTTATAAGTGAAATGACTGGGTTATGATAGGTTTAATCTAATCAGTGCATTGATTCCTTGATAAAGATTGAGTGGGAGGTGACTGTAGGCAGGTAGGTTGTGGCTGGAGGAGGTGGGTCTTTGGGACTTTGGGAATGAGCTTTTGGGGTTTATATTTTGTCCAGTGTGTGGGAAGCTCTCTCTCCCCTCTCTGTTTCCTGAAGTGGTGTCCTTAGCTGCTTTCCTCTGCCACACTCTTCTCTCATGATGTTCTGTCTCAACTCTTGCTCAAAAGAATGGAGTTGGTTACCTATTGACTAAGACCTCTGAAAACTGTGAGCTCCCAAATAAACTTTTACTCCTCTAAATTTTTCTTGTCAGGTCTTTTGATCACAGCAGAAAAAAAAAAGAAAAAAAAACCTGACTGGCATAGGAGCCAGCCTACTGACTGCTCAGAGCAGGGCAGAGCAGAGAAGTATGGAGAACAGATGTGGTGGGGCAAATGGAGCAACACAAATGGTTGGAAAAAGCGTAATCAGAAACATTCAAAACCATTTGTCAAGAGGCTTGATGACATTTTACACATGGAATAGAGGCCAAAAGCTAACAGAACTCTGTGAGACTCTTGGCCCAAGCAGAACTGCTTTGGGGCTCATCCAAGGAAGTACTGCTTGAATTTGGAAAGGAGACCATTTATTCAGTCTCTTCTTGGAACCCAGCAGTGATCTAGTGTCACAAGAACCACAAACACTGGGAGGATAAAAGACATTTAGGTATGGACATCAGAGATCTTGTGCCATTTTGTAGGATAATAAATTACCAATTAGGAGTTTGAGCAAAGAAGGCACGACAGGGCAGATCTACATGTGGCTACAGCTGTCCATCTGGTAGGTGGACTCACAGGAGGAAGCATTTCTGTCCCTTGGTTCTATGGGCCTGGATCAATTATGAATTTGTTAATAAAAACATGTATGGGGGCTGAGGCTGGGGCTCAGTGGTAGCGCACTTGCCTGGCATGTGTGAGGCACTGGGTTCAATCCTCAGCATCACGTATAAATAAATAAAAGGTCTATCAACAGCTAAAAAATGTTTTTAAAAAATGCACACATTTTTATTCAATCAAAGGCCTATTAATTTAAAATTTTCTAGTTGATATCCATCTTCAATATTTTTTTAGAGAGAGAGAGAGAGAATCTTTTTTTTTTTTTTTTTTTGTAGGTGGACACAACACAATGCCTTTATTTTTATGTGGTGCTGAGAATCGAACCCAGGTCCTGCCCATGCTAGGTGAGCATTCTACCGCTGAGCCGCAATCCCAGCCCCATCTTCAATATTATTAAAGTATTTGTTTGTATTTAACTGAGTAATATGTGTTGGTACCTGGGAATTAAATATGCACGTAGGTAAGAGAGATTACCTGATACGGAAATCACACAGATTGGGTCAAAGAAAATTAAAGGTAGGATTCCTCAGGGGGATGTAGTCTGAAAATTTTCCCCAAGGAAGGACCACCCTTAAAGTCAGTACTTATTTCTAGTACAGAACTCACGGACAGATCAGGGATGTTAGCAGGATGCAGAAACAAGTAGGCAGAAGTAGGAACAAAGTTTTGCTGGAAAATACAAGCTAAACCATCCCAGAATGCTGAAGGGCACCTGATCCTGCAGTATTCTATCCCTTGTCCTCTTCCCAGTATCTCCAACAAGCACAGTAAGAATGATAAAAATCAACTTCTAGAGTCTTTGATACACACTGGGACATTGTCAATTTGTACCTTATATAACCCAATATAATTTTCATGTCAACTCTCTAAGTAGGTTCTACTCCCATTGCACAGGGGAGAAAATGAATATCAGAAAGATTAAAGGGCCAGCATCCTATAAGGAAAGGATCCTGAGACCCACCTCTAAATAATCTCTGGATGATCTGTATCTATATTGTCCAATATAGTGGCCATGAGCTATGTATGGCTATTGAAATACAACTTCTGAGAATTAGAATGTGCTACAAGCATTAAATACACACTGGATTGAAAATCTTCTCATGAATAAAATAATGCGAAGTATCCCACCAAAAAGTTTCGTATTGACTATATCTTTAAATGGTAATATTTTTTAATAAAATGGATTAAATAAATTATAATCTTAAATTTAATTTAACAGTTTCTAATTTTTAAATATGGCAACTAGAAAATTTTAAATTATATATGTGGTAATTATTAATTGCTATATAATTATCCCTAGAATAAACCATTTCATTATATCTTATAATCTTAGGATCGGGAATTTAGATACGATGGAGTGGGCAATTTTTCTGCACCATGTGATATGGACTGAGGTCACTTGGTGATATTCACGTGACAGCAAGGTTGGAATGGAGAGTCCAAGACAGCTTCGTTCATATAGCTAATGCTTTGGCTGGAAGACTGGTCTTATCTGGCTCTTCCCCTCTTCTCCATGTAGTCTCGTCTCCAGGTAATCTCTCCAACAGACTTCTTCTATGGTAATTCAGGCTCCAAAATCCAGTGTTCACAAAACAGAATATGAAAGTTGACAATCTCTTAAAGCCTGTGCCTGGCATGTGTGAGGCACTGGGTTCGATCCTCAGCATCACGTATATTTTTAGCCTGCTACAAAATCACTGAAAGAGCATGTTAAACCACATGTTTAGGCCTCACACCTCGAATTTCTGAATCAGTGTGTCTCAGGTGGGACTTGAGAATTTGCATTTCAATAAGGTGCTATGGTATGAATGTGTTCCCTCAAATGGATAGAGATATATTTCCAATGCAATAGTTGGAAGTTGGGGCCTAAAAATAAATGATTAGATCATGAGGATTCTATCCTCATGAGTGTATTAATGTTATTATCATAAAAGTGGGTTAGTTATCTTGAGAGTGGGCTTATTAGAAAAGCAAATATGGCCTTCTCTTTCTCTCACATTCTCTCTTGCCTTTTTGCCTTCTTCCATGAAATGATGGAGCAAGAAGACTTCACCAAATGCTGATATCTTGATGTTGTATTTCCCAACATCCATAATTCTGATAAACAAATTTCTTTTCTTTATAAATTACTTAGTCTGTGGTACTCTGTTATAACAACAAAGAGTAATACACAAGATCATAGGTGCTGCTCATAATCAGGAACCACACATGGAAATCCAATAGCCAATATTTCAACATAATTAACAATTCTGTCTCACCCCTAACGGTTCCTCTTGCAATATTTACCCCAAATACCCCAAGGTATACCCATGTATTCTCATGTATACCCACTCCTTCTCATCCAGGATAAAAATAAAGATTCTAATACAATCACAGACACACTTCTGACTGCATCAGAGAACAGGCAAGCATGTGTTCATTATTACCAACAACAGAAGCACATGGAGACTAGCAAGTGGGTTGTAAATGTCAGGCACAGGGTTTTATGTAGCAGTCTTCTACAACCTAAATAATTGGTTTATCATTTTACTTTTCTATTTCTGCATAAAATAGCATATTATCCCAAAACATAAAGTCTTAAAACAAGCATTCATTATCTCATAGTTCCAAGTCATCCATCTAGAAGCAGCTTAGCCAAGTGGTGGGGTTCAGGATCTCTCTTGAGGCAGTAAGCAATGTGCTAACCAGTGCTGCTGTCATCTTGAGGCTCAACAGGAGAGGATTTACTTCTGTGCTCACTCCATGCCCACTCAGAAGATCTGTTTCCAAGTTCATTCTCATGACTGTTAAGAGACCTCAATTCTTTGCCACCTGGGCTTCTCCATAGGCCTGATTCGTGGCATGGCGTCCCTCCTGAATGAAGCAATCCAAGAGAGAGAAAGAGAGACAGAGTGCCCAAGATGGAAGCTGCAGCTTTTTTACAACCTAACATTGGATATAACATCCATTTCTCTGCTTTATTCCATTCACAAGTCAATGAAGGAGGAGAAGACTATATAAGAATATGAATATTAGAAGACATGGATCATTGGAGGCCCTTTAAGGGACTGCATATGACATTAAAAATAAACTCATGGACTCCAGTATATGAGGAAGTTGAGCACTGAATAAGTCAATTGCAGTTCATCTTGAGATTAGTACTTAAGGCACACTATGTCCCTTAGAAACATTGATTAAATGCAACTCAAGTACACTGCTGTTTATCTTGTTCTATGACAACAGAATTATGAAATAGCTCTACTATAATATTTGAAGTATAATGATTACATTAATAATAATGGCAATTTCTTATAGGCTAGAATAGTAATAAGCATTCATTTAATTATTGATTTAATAATAAAGTATAAGGTCAACATTGATCAATAACATCTTAGGATTTCAAAATATACTGCTATATGGATCAACATTTTGTGTAATTTGAGGAACTATATTAAAATTTTCTTGCTAAAAGATGTCATGGAATTAGGAAAGAGGAGTAATATCATTCTGAGACCCACATGCCAGGCATTCTTCCAATATTTAACACATGTTGTTACATTGTTCAGCTTCATCAGAACCCTACAACACTAAAAACAGGACAGAGATTATAAATATCTCACCCAAAGGTTCATGGTTACTAAACACAGTTTTGTCCTGTATCTTAGGGCTTTATTTAGCTATATGGTTCATTAAATATAGTCTCAAAGATAACATCACTAGTAGTGCATGTCAATTTCTATATCATACAGGTAGAATTCAAGTTGATTGTCTTGGTTGTTTTTATTGAGCTTCTCTGATACCAGTGTTAATTTTAATTATGTAACGCTACTTTGTTGTACGGGGTGCCTTGAGAAATCATACAAAAAGTCCCATGGTCTCAAAGGTTTGAACTAGTCTGTGGGCATGCTTTGACTAAGTCCGGTTTCTTCTTGCCTTTTCATATTTCATTTCCTTCTTAATGGATTCATGTTTTGGAAGGTAGATCTGGGGAGTAGCCTCGACTTACAGAGTTTCTACTATGTCTGCATCTGCATTGACCCACATCAATTCCAGTCATTCCTCTAAATCTCTTGACTACTGTCTTTGAGCTAAGGCTTTCCTCGGAATACCAAAGCCTGTAGCTTTACTGGCAATCAGTAATTTTCAAGAGGCATCTATCACAAGTTGAATAAATTAAGGTTTTTCTAAAGCCCAATTTAACTGCAGAAAAAAAAAAATTTAAAAATAAAATAAAATTATACGTCAAAAAAAAAAAGAATAAAGCCCAATTTAACTATTGAGTTCCTACTTTCAAGTTCTCTGGATCTTAAAGAATAGAAATGGAGGGAAAGAGCATTGTAGCAAGTGCAAATATCTGGAGAGTACTACCACCTGACCTTAGCTGAAGTCAGTATTACATTGGGAAAAACAAAAAAAAAAGGATAGTGTGGTCAATTTGTATTGTGCTAAAAGATTGAACACGCACTATAGTAAATGTGGGCCTGATAATTGTTCTTTCAAGAAAGGAGAATAATCAATCCTTATTATTTTTTTGTAGAAAACCAATGTTGATAAAGAGCAATCTAAATTTGATGTGTAAGAGCAAGGAGCTTGAAAAATCTTGAAATCACAGCAATACCAGTCAACTAAAACAATTTTGTCACCCTATGGGGAGACTGATTACAAAGCAAGTGACATAGGAAGATTTAGTGGCTAACTCCACCTATAAAACACAGCATGTCCAGGCAACAGACAGTCGTTAAAGCAATACAAATTTCATTGTAAAGAACTAACTTAGAATCTTCTCTCCCTGAATAATTTTGAATAAAGTATACCCGGAATGCATGGTGGGGTATGAAACAGATGAGTATTACTAGGAGAAAGAAAAAACTCTTAATTTGGGCTCTATATTCTTGATGGGCCCACATGTCAGGCCAGAGAGCCTTCACCAGCTGAAGGATGACAGCCATCTGTATCAAAAAAAGGATGACAACCGTTGTCATCATAATGACAATCATAGAGTAGTTCATGATAATGATTTGCCTGCAGCTGAGATCTCTGTAGAACTCAAAGCATCTCTGTTTTTCTGAGTAACTTGGATCTGTGCCATATTGTAAAAAAAATATTGGCAAAAAAATAAGGCTACCCACCATCCAAATAATTATGCTTAAGACTACTGCATGGTACTTTTGTAATTGTTGTGTCTGGAGTTTTTTAAAATAGATGAGTAATCGGAATATAACAATAACTATATAGAAAAGAAAGGAGAAGTACATATGCCAGTATATGATGCTGCTAACCACTCGGCAGGCAAAGGTTCCCAGCTCCCAGATGACTGACAGGTAATAGCTGAGGCGGAACGGAAGGCTGACCAGGAGGATAGAGTGCAGCACCATGATATTGAAGATGATGGTGGCAATCACTGACTGACTATTCCTCTTGAACATCATGCATGACATTATAACTGTTCCAATAGTGCCTCCCAGTAAAACCACACTGTAGAGTGTTATCAGAATCGTCCTGCAATATGCATCACAGTGGTCGAGGTCCATGTTTGAGACATTTGGCAAAGCAGTTGTATTGATCATCTCCATGTTTTGTCACGATGAACTTAGATCATAATTGCCTAAATCAAAGTTTAACAAAATTATGATGTATATACAAAAACTATTCAACAACTGAGCATTAATAGTACTGAATTTGGCAATCTCAGACAACTATTTACAAGCCCCAAATTTTGTACCAAAAACATATTGTCAGAGATTCTGCCTAATAATTTAAACATATTGAAGGAACAGAATCCAGCGAAATAAAATAACAAAATTACGTTTGTTTGAATGTGAACTTCAGAGCTGTGCACCTAGGTATTCTATAAACAGCTATGTGTATCCACACATGCAAAATTTAAGTTAGGGTCAAAGATCTTAGTAATTAAAATAAAGTTTACATATATATACATATCATGTATATCTATATCTATTTATATCTATATAGAGTTTTGTTCTTTTGTTTTTTTGGAACCAGGGATTAAGCCCAGGGATGCTTTACCACTGAGCCACATTCACAGCCCTTTTTTATTTTTATTTTTATTTTCTATGTTGCTTAGGGCCTTGCCAAGTTGCTGAGGCTGGCTTTGAATTCATGATTCTCCTGCCTCAGTCTTCTGAGCCACTGGGATTACAGATGTGTGCCACCATGCCTGGCTCAAAATAATTTTAAAAGTCGAAACTAATACAATTCTTGATGAACAAAATAGCAAAGTTTAAAATCAAAGGAGTATCAGTGCACACCTAGTATGCATTCAGATCAGATTTATAAAGATCATCCTTCCTGCCATCACACTAATTTGGGGTGATGTGGAGAAAAACTGATTTGGGTTAATGTAGAGAAAATCCACATAAATCATGTGTAATTGTTGTAAGAAAATGTATCAGAAAGTATTTTAGAGTGTTTTCTGTGAGCAGCTTTTAATCCAGGAGAAGCCTATAATATATATATATTTCCTACATCCCTTTCTTCTTCTTAAACCTGATCTTTTCTTGAACTGCTATGTGACATGTTGGTAAAATGCTGGAGTTTGAAGATGGATCTGCTTAGTTTTTATTTAAGTTTTGCTGGTGTGAGGATTTAAGGAGCAGTGATCTTGCAGCAAGCAGTACAGAGCACTGGTAATCTGCCATCTTTGCACATAAGGGCCAATTCTGCCATTAGGTGCTAAAGGACAGGGCAAGAGTCACTGTGGCTTCATGTAGCTTTAGCTGTGACAATGCTGTACTCCCAGCATTAGAATGTTCTTCAGAAATCCCATGAGTCAGTGTGTTTGAGACAATTTTAAATTTGAAAAAAAAAAGAAAAATAAAACAACAAAACAAAATAAGAACCAAATAAATATTATGATTCTGAAGGTGAAACAAGATGAAGGCATTTTTTACCTCTTTCTCCTTTTTGCAAGTAGGGACAGGTACAGTTAGGTTATAGAAAAATCATAACTGCATTCATAAGTATTTAATAAATCTCTGGCAATTAAAAAAAGAAAGAAAAAAAAAAAAACAACTTTTCCAGACCTTAGTTCTGAGAGTATGAGTCACAGACATCAACAGCTCAAACTTCTCTCTTTGGAAGATCCATGTCATTTCCTCATGTATCTTCAGCACGCATGGCCAGAGGCAGAGTTTAATCATCTGTGTTTGAGTGAAAAGTTACTCCACAGAGCAAATCTCAACATAGTAAATCTTCTTGGAGTGAATAATTAATTTTTTGTTTATACAAACATCATTAGATCTAGTAAATGTCATACCTACAAGAATATTTTATTGTACTTTAAAACATAATGACAACTTCAATTTAAATTTCATATGTTAAAAATATGCATTTTTAAAGAAGTGCATACAGATAAAACAGGATGTTTATAAGATTTTTTGGAAAGCAATAATTCTAATTAAATTTTAAAACAACAAAAATACTAATTTACTTTATTAAATTTTGGTCATCTGAAAGTCTAAACAAACAAGACATAAGTTTGAAATTATTTAAAAACAATGAGAGCCTAGATTATTGATCAGTTCCATAGTTTAAATAGACACACCTGCTAAGACAGTGTGCTATTTGAAAACAGGTAGCACTGCCACTTACCAACTGGCTAATAATGGGACAGATATTTAACTGGACAGTTATTACAATGGAAGTGATAGTACTTACTTTGTAAGATTTTTATGAAAATTTAGGTTGCATCATCTATAAAGAAACTTAGATTTTCTAACATATTACTTGTTGTCAAAAATGTCAACATCATATGTCCCTTTACAACATATACAAGGATATTTCATAAACATAGCACACAAGGAACATTATTTTTTTAGATGTGTCTCTAAGTGATCTTACAGATATTTAATTCATGGAGATAAGTTCACAGGAAAGAGAAAAGTGTGACGGTCATTTTTCTTTTTCTTTGAGATCTTACCTTTGCAATCACACTGAACCTCTTAACCTTATTCTTCAAAAGTTCATAATTCTAGGGTTTTTTTTCCTCACTAAACCCAAATATGGAAATTTCTAGATAGGCAATCTATCCACAAATTAATAGCTACCCAAATTACTTACTTGCTCTTTTTCTTTTATGACTTGCTTCTGGTGGAAGGCTCAAGGCACTGTGGCATGCTGTGATCTACAGCCGGACAGTCAGTAAGGGCAGTTTGCTAGAACCAAGACTCCAGTAACCATAGCAGTCCTGGGATAAATGACGATGAGGGTATAGCTCAAGCTTAAGACTGAGGATGCACAAAGTTTAACAGCCAAAATGGAGAGCCCAGATAAGCCATCTGAGCCACAAACGGATGTTTATCTCTATAGTTAGAGGTGAAGCAGATTCAGAATTACTCCTATCAGTAAAAACTTTCATTTTCACTACCGTAGATGTATTTGCAAAAATTTCCCTCATTAAAATGAACCACTTAAAGGGATTTTTCCAATGTTGTTTCTCATCCTACTTTCATGTGCTACCCAAAATGGTCACATTCAGAATAAGAATGGTATCAGGAAGTACTTCCTGGGTGACTTTCATATTCTCAGAGTAAGCTCAAAATATTTGTACCTCTTACTTCCAATTCACAAAAGTTCCTTTTTCTCCTTGTATGGGCTGTTTGGAGATATGGTTCTTTTGAAGCTTGATGCTCTAGTTCAAAAAGAAGGCTCATTTTTCTCAAATGCCTTTCATTTGCTTACATGAACCTTTTCACTTTCTGTCCTAACTTCACAGTCGTTTTTAACAGTCCTAAGACATCAAAGCACAATTTTAAGGAAACACGGGGTTTTTGTACTACACAAAGATACAAGGTACCAATATGCCTTCATCAGTTGTGGGCCAACCCAGCCCTGAATAACGTTATTGTTCAGCCAAGGAAATTAAAAAGGACTGAAACTTGATCACCTGTAATGCAAGTTCATTATGGCCTGCATTTAGGTACCAACTGATAAAATTCTCATTTACTTTGGAAAAGAGTAACTATCCTCCCCACCTCTGCCATCTGCTACCTGATCATCCAACAGTGCTTGTGGCCACAAAGACATAAAACAACAGAATCTAAATGTAATGGGGCCATATGCTTAATTATTTCAAGAAGAACTCTCCAAGAAAGGTAAAATTTCCACTCTTATTACGAAAGGCAAATTTGTACCAACTCGACTCAGCTGGAAAAATTTCATATGGGACCAATTTTTCAACCAATTTTAAACATCTCTTCTTAAATCAAATTAATTCAAAAAATATAAAATCTGTATTATAGGCTTGGATTTGGACATATTATCTGACAGTCCTTATTTTTCAGATAAAATGTGTTCCTGGAATCTGCAGGATAAAGTACGTTCCCATAGAAACCATGCTATATTTAGGGTTTGCTTGTCTGAGGAAGGACAAACTGAGAAATAAGTTAGATGTGACCAACAGTGGAGCATAAAAATTCACAACTATGAGCAGCACACAAATTAATTGTTCCCACTGATGACCGGAAGATTTCTGCTAAAATGTATCTCTGTTGTATTTACAACACAGCTAGAGGAATACATGGATTTCATACTTTTTCCAACTACAGTCAAAATTCAACTTTCTCCTTAGGGGAGTGCCAATAATTGAAAGAAATACAACAAATCCTTAATATTAGACATGTTTAACTCCAGAATAGTATGATCTTATTTAACAAATGAAGCCACCACAGTTCAGAGAGTTTAGGAAATTATTACAAGGCCACAGAACTAATTAGGAGACAGATAGGGATGTAAAACATGGTTCCTGTACCAACTTTTCATTCCACTGCAAAAAAATGATACACACATGGTGAGGAATTTGCGATAGTCTCTGATAGACATTAACAATCTATGGCTTAGTTGTACTTCTCCTCTGGAAATGAACTAAACCTTTAAATAAAGGTATATTTAAAAATCCTATAGAATTAAAATACTTCTTTAAATATGATTTTCCTTCCTTCCAAGCTGTTAGAGTAAGACATGAACATCAATGAGGAGCCTGTTAGTTTTCAGGAGAAAAAGTCAATCTGTCCTCATCTGGGGAGGTTGGAAGCAGAGGCTGCTGGGGATGTACCATCTGGCCCACTCCTGCCCTTCCATGGGAGATGCCATTTGAGATGGCCACTGGTGGGCAATGTCTGCTGCTGAAAGAATGGTGGGTGGGGGTTGCTTATGTGTCTGTCAAATTGTGACTGTGGAATATCCCTAGGAAAGGGATAACAAAATCAGAAATTGCTAATTCTCAAACCTATTTACTCTCACAAATCATAAACCATAACCTCTTCACTAGCATACTTGGTTCTTTGTTTTATCCATAATGTCCAGAGGCTCAGCAAGCCTTGAAACTGGAGGCAGCACCTGGACACTGACCTCTCCCCAAGTTTTTGTCTGTCTCTTCATCCATCTCTCTCTGTGGCTGTATGTACATGTTTCACTCCATGTCTCTGTCATGTAGGTGCAACTGAGTTTGATTGCATGGAGACATAGGATTGGGAATGAGACGAAAACAGATTATCCCATCCTTCTCTCCACTTTGTGGACAAAAGATGGAGATCCAGGAAAACCATTGTAATCCTTTCACTTCTTCCCCAGAAGAAGATGACCCAGGCAGCATTTCTGAGACTGTTTAGGAGTCAAGTAAATAAACAAATTAAAAAAAAATAAGAAAACACGTTCTCTGGCATTTATTTTCTACCATACATCAAGTCTTAAATGATAAAATCATAGTAGGCACATAAAAGTCTTTGTTGAGAGTTATAGGTATTAGTTTTTAGAGTGTTTGGAGGTACAGTCTGCCCTCTGTATTTGCAGAATCCATATGAGAAGATTTCAAATTTGGATGGAAAATATTCAGAGAAAAAATTGTGCTTGTAGTAAGAATGTATACACTTTTTTTCCTGTCATTATTAATTCCCTAAACAATATAACTGTCTACATAGCAATTACATTGAATTTAATATTATAATGTTGAGATTAAATTAATTAATACTGGAAGGAGTATGAAGGTTATGTGCAAATGTTATCCCATTTTATATATGAGACTTGATTGAGACTAGATTTTGATATCCAAGGACTGGTCCTGGAACCAATCCTCCACTGATAGCAAGGGCCAGTCCTGGTGAAATGTTCTCTGTATTTGAAAAGTGAAAGAGATTAAAATTAGACCTTTAAAAATAAAACAAACCTCTTTACAGAAGGCTGACAAAAGGACCTTAATTCAAACCACACCATGCTCTGTTTCTTGGCTTTCTATTTGCTCCTGGAGTCAATTCACATCTTTGTGCATTGTGTCCTTTGCACCTCTGCCTGAGTGCTTTTCTCACTTCTGAAGGTTGTACTGTCCCTTGTCATTTAGTTCTCAACAATGAATTCACCTCTTGGGAAACCCACTACAACAACCAGTGTCAGGAGACTGCTCAGGCACTATCACACTGCCCTGACTGAATTCTTTACATATGATTTGTCATTGAATTTTGCTTTTATTGCCTATCTATTTCTTTTTTTTAAATATTTTTTAGTTGTAGGTGGACACAATGCCTTTATTTTTATTTATTATTTGTTTTTATGTGGCACTGAGGATCAAACCCAGTGCTTCACCAATGCTAGGTGAACACTGTACCAATGAGCAACAACCCCAGCCCCAATTGCCTACTTATTTCTAATGGTTTTATTGTCTGCATTTTTTTCTGCTGAGATCACTTGATCTCCAGTATCTCAGTAGACTTAGCCTTGAAGTTTTAAATCAAACAGACCACATTGTCTGGCAGTTTGAAGTCTTGGTCAGTCAGTTTCAGTAGGTTTAAGAATTAGCAGTTGCTGATTTATTTACCACTTCCTAAAGCTATATTTCGTAGGACCCCTAACTGTATTGCTGGTATTTTCCAGTGCTCAGAACAGTGCCTACCACACATTTGTTGAATTAATTCAATATATTGGATGAATGCATAACTATACATGATTTTTAAGAGAGGCTATGGATAATTTTTCTTTTGATGATAAATATTTAATGTTTTAAAGTTATTCATACAAATTTCAGGGGTTGGAGTTGAATGTGAGAGCTGGCATTGAACAAAAAGAGGGTCTATCAAATTCAAGCACATCATCTTAGAAGAAACTGAGCTCAGAGAGGCAGCTTGAGCAGAGGCCACACAGAAAACCTGGCTCTGACACTCTCAGCCTAGCCTCCATTGTTGACCTGGACAGCTGTCCAAGGTGACAATCTCAAAGAAACTACAGCTGGAAGTTTCCCCATATTCCAAAAGGTATTGTCTGCTTTTGGAACTGTATCTCTTAACACTTTGGAAGCACCTCAGAGGAAGGACACATTTGATCAAGAATTAAGGAGACATTTTGTTCAACACACTTTTTCCTATGATCTTTTTAAATTTTGATTTTAAGTGTTGCGGGCGAATCATCTCTTGTGCCTTAGGTTTCTGGCCTGATTTTAGGATAGAAAAAGCAGTTTTACCTCTTTGAGAGTTATTTTACAGTGTGGTTTATTTTTTTTTCTTTTTCTTTATTCTATTGCTTTCTGAAAGGAAGATACTGTTTCCTGAGAACACAAAAAAGGAACTAGTGGTTTTACTAACACATGATGTGTGCTAGACCTAAGAATGAGATGCAGCTCAGATCAATAGTTTAAATTCAACTGTTTTCTGAAATGATAGTTATCTTAGAATTTTGACTTCCAGAGGGAGTTCAATCAAGATACGATTCACCACGTATCTGATTTTAGCATGACAGGGACTTGGTGTAAATTCACACAGAGTCCTCGTTGGGATATGAGAGGACAAATAAATTAAGGCCCAGAAATCATTCATTCACCATGAAGAGGAGGGCTGAGTAAGAAGGCAACAGTTGATAGACTTCAAGGTCAAACAAGGATTTTTAAAGATAGAAGTATTTTGCTTATTTATATGATAAAACTTAAAAATGCCTATCTTGAGCTGCAAGGGATACTGGCCATGGGAATATATTGAATGCTCCAATCCAAATGGGCCCTGTGGTGACCTAGTTTGTGCTTTGAAAATTCAAAGAACTCAAATAAATACCACTAGCCATCAAAGATTCCCGAGTCTCCAATCCTAAGGCACAGATCTCAAGCCTCCAAAGGAACCTCCCCATTTCCTTCTGGCTCAGTGGAAAAATAATTACTTTGTCTTTATTACACTAGTGACTACAGAACTCTTGGCTGTTTTGCAGGCTGCAGCTAGGATGAAGAGCAATTTCACTAATCATATTTTACTCAAAATCTCACCAGACCTTTAAAAAATACACCCTCAT